TGCTGAACCACGTTTATCTGGAGCTTCTGATTGGGAAGCTTCTCCAGATCCCGCCTTTGTTACCTGAGAGGAAATGCTGCTGCCTCCATCACTGGCAGAGCGACTCTGACTTGAGATGCCAGAGCTCAGGGTTGAGTTCCTGCTACTCTCTCATGCTGAACCTTTTCCTGGTGAGCTGATGCATGGTTCTGTGCATTTTCACATGATCTTGCTCAACTACAGAATTGCTCTTCCCTTCTATGACTCGTTTTTTGGATGATTCTACCCCTTCTTGGCAATCAGTTGTCTCTTGTTGTATGTACTGGCCCATCTGTCACTTTGGTGCCTTCAGCCATACTAAGTATTCTATCCATAACTTTCTGAGGGTACCACCATCGCGCGCCCTGGCGTCCTTCCTGCGCGAGCCGGCGCTTCGAGGACTCTGCGGCACAGGCGCTGGCGCTAGGAGGCCACCAATCAGACCTCTCAGGGCAGCAGGACGCGGGGGAGGGAGGCGGCCGCTGGGCGTGACCCGCCCAGCCGGGGTCGCGAGGGCGGGCCGCAGGTGGGGTTCTCCGGGGACGCCCGGAATCTCAGCATCCTGCGTCGCGTCCCAGCTGCACTTTGTGACGCCAGGCAAGCTCCCGCGTCAGTCGTTCCCCGCCAGCGGAGTCCGCGGGGCTTGGCGCCAGCGCAGTCCCTCTAGGGCTGCTTCCTGGGGACCTTGAGCCACCCTTCTGCCGCAAGGTCCAGTTTTATTATTTTTAATCGTCAGAAGACATTTGTACTTGCCAGAGAGAGAGAGAACACTTCAATAGGGGACTTGCATACACTTGTACCTGATGTTTTCCATCAGACTGGGATTCGATCCACAGCAGCTCTAGTGATCCAGCTTTCAGTGCACAGTGCTTAGCACAACACTTAATCACTGCAGTGGCCCAGCAGACTATATCTTATCTTTGCCAGTTGTAATTTATAAGAAAATTTATATCCTTATTGAGATCTCGGGCCGGTTTGGAACTCTTACAAGAAGGGATAAAATTCATGTTAATTGAGTTACACAAGGTATCCTACATGGTAAGTATGACATCTTTTAATCTTCACAATCAGACTATGCATTAATTCAAATTATCCTAGTTTTGCAGATGAAATATTAAAGATAAGATATTGTTAATCTTTTTCAATAAGTTGAGAGAGAGTCAAGTTTAGTATCTTGAAATTAAATTCATTTCTGTTCCATTGAACGCTATTAATTTAAAAGATATCTTAACTCAATCTTTGCAAACACTCTATTTGTACATCAGGGATAGAGTCCACTATTATAACCCGCTCAATTAGGAAAGACTTTAGTGTCCATTTCGCTGACTGGTTCCTTGACATCTTTATTTCTCAGACTGTATATCAGGGAATTCAACACGGGGATTACCACTGTGTAAAACACCGAGGCCACTTTGACGGTGTGTCTGGAGTTTTTGGAGTTCGGGACACAATAGAGAAAGAGGATGGTGTTGTGGAAGATGGTGATTGCAGTCAGGTGGGAGGCACAGGTGGAGAAGGCTTTGCAGTGTCTGCTGGCTGAATGCATCTTGAGGACGGTAGCAACAATGAACACATAGGATGAGCAATGTGCGGACTTTATTAAAGGTGGCAAAAATGAAAAGCAACAACTGGTTGGGGAAAGTATCAGTAAGAGAGGGAGAGCAGTGAGGAGAACCCACAGAAGTGATTGATTATGTTGAATCCATGAAAGGACCATTTTAAAGCAGAGCATGTCAGAATCAAGGGACATGCTACTCCCCAGTCATACACAGTTTCTGGCACATGGCAACTGTTTAGGGCTGAGGATTGCAAATGGCCACACAGCCATCATAGGCCATTGCTGCCAGTAAGAAGGATTCAGCCACCACAAAGGTACAAAGGAAAAAGAACTGGATTACACATCCTAAAAATGAAATAGTTCTGTCTTCAACAACTAGGTTCAACAGTGTCTTGGGAGCAATGATGGAAGAATAGCAACAGTCCACAAAGGAGCAGTGGCTGAGAAAAAAAAAAGTACATGGGAGTGTGCAGTTGGGGATTAATTTTGATGATTACAGTCATCCCAATATTTCCTACCACAGTGATACTATAAATGGCCAGAAAAATCAGGAAGAGTGGAATTTGTAGTTCTGGGTAGTCTGAGAAACCTGAGTAAATGTGGCCCCACTCTTATTTCTATCTGACAGTAACATGGATTCTCTTGTCAGAATCTGAAACTTAGGGATCAGCAGTTAGCATAATGGCTATGTCGCTGGACTCCCACATAGTCGACCACAGTTCGAGTCCCAGACCAGGTGGCTTAAACTCACACCGGGTGCTTATGTGTGTGTGCCCAGGATCCTGAGGGGAAAGTGGAGGAGAAGGGATTGCGGTGTGGCCATCCCTCCTGGGGATATGAGTTCTCACTTTCTGTCTCTCTGTCTCTGTCTTTCTGGCAAGCACATGCCCTATAACAAAAACCTCTCCAAAAAAAGAAGAAGAAGAAAAAAGAATCCAAAAGTTAGTACTGAAAACAAAAATATTAAGGAGAGTGAATAAACAGAAGCTCGACTGACTACTTATCAAGTCTAGAAGATAAAGCAAAATCTTTCTTTAAGAATGTGTTTATTAGGAAATACATCCCAAATATCTAAAATTTTAAAACTAACATAGTTTTAAAATTTTCTCAAGAGAATCATATAATGACTGAATTAAATTTTATTTTCTCAACTGTATTTTTTAATATTTACAAATACAGGAAAATGAGATCAAAGCATTTATTATTATTTTCTATCAACTGCAAAAATAATGCTTTTAGCTTTCCTGAGCATTATAAATTCATAAACAATAAAGCTAATATAATTTTATGACTGATTATGTTAACCATGCAATCAATAATGAAAATCAAAAATTTCAAAACAAATTAATGTTTACATCATATGTCTATGCAGTGACATAAAATATTAACAGCTGTAAAATTTAATAGCTCTAACTTTATTGTTAATTCCATCTATGACATTAATCACTGTCTAATAGATCTATTACCAAATACATCTTATTTTTTTCCAAAGGTATGCTCCTTAATTCATGTAGTTCTAATTAACAATTTTTCTTCATTGTGTGAGAACTAATAAAATTGGAACAGATTATAAAGGTAATCTACTTTATTACTTTATTCTAGATATGAAGAAATAGAAGTTTGAGAAACCTTCACATTCTCAGAGATGTTCAGATAAAAAAACTATACATCTATGATGTACAGATAAAAATCAATCTATACATCTATGACTAGAGTCTCATTCCTCAGACTCCTAGTCATAGATCCATTGCATTACACCAGACCCTGACCCATGTTGTAGGTCTAGAAATTAACATTTTCATTATTAACAATCCAATTCCTATTGGTGAGAAGTGTAGGAGTGGTAAACCTACAAAAAGTAGTCTAACAACAGTGTATATGTCACAGAGTTATAGCAGAAACCACCTTCAAGACAAAACACTTCAGAAAAGGATTTAGGGAAGTTTTCTCACCTGAGAATAACGATTAACACAATAAAACAGACTTAGAAATTTCCCTTTCCTAGTGGTCTCTATCAACTATCTATATCTGTCTATACATACTTCTCTCCCTTCAAGAAATGAAAGTTATTCATTCTGTCTCTGTGAAGGACAAGCATTAAAAACTTGGATTGCACATTTTGTGGAGGAAGTAATGATACAAAAGAATCACATGTTTCTCTAGTAGGTGTCTAAATTTCTCAGATTCTACTATAACAGGAATCTCTTACTCTGTCATTTCTGGTAAGATTATCTCTGGCCAACACAATTCCTGAAATAGCTTACAGATGGCCCATCAATAAAGATGTCAGATCATATGCAAGGCCTAGACACTCAATGGTCCTATCTATTCCTACACTCATGAATTTAAGACAACCTCAAAAGACAATTCATCACAAAGACGTATTTTCAAATGATCACATTTGTTTCTTAATGTCATGTTTTATTTATCTAAAATTTAAAATTTATTTTAAACTAATGATACATGTAACATAGTGGCTCCTATGTCCCAAATGCTATTATTAAATTATCGATGAAAGTTTCTATGTTTTCAAGTCCAGGGAATATCATAACTACTGAAATCTTGTTCCCTGTGTGTGCTTTTTCTGTTTTTCCTTTATTCTCAGTTGGGTTGCTATTTTTACTCTCAAGAATCACATGCTTTTCTTGTCTTATAATTTTAATTAAAGCTGGTCCCAGGTCAGCCAGGTAGTGTAATGGTTAAGGTGGCTGAATCTCACACAGTTGACTGAGTGGTTCAAGTAACATCCTGCTGGCTTGAAGAAACAGTCCGAGCACATGTGTGTGGAAGCTCAAAATCCCAAGAAGAGAAATAAAGGAGAAGGGATGGCGCATGACCATCCCTCCTAGTGGATGATTCTTATCTTTATCTGTCTCTGTCTCACCCCCACATATGACCTATAGCAGGAAAAAAAAAAAAAAACTAAACAAAGATAAAGCTGGTAAATTGGATTTATTTTTTCTCTAAGAGTTTGTTTAACCGATTTTTGTTTAATTACACATTTGTGTATTCTACCTTGACTATTCCTCCAAAAACTATATATTAGTAAGACAATACAAATTCCCCAAATTCTCAGAGTTCTTCCATCCCCCAGATATGGTACCTGCTGTTTTGTTTTATTTTATTTTTGTAGCGTCTCTAGCACAGGGTCTCTAATACGAAGATTTTCAGAAAGAGCATACTTTCTGCTCTTTGTACATATATTCCTTAGGAACTATCTAGAAGGCAAATTTCCTCTCTCAATTTATTTTCTAAATTAAAATAGATATTAATTTGTCTTTAGAATGTTAAAACAAACCTGCTGATGGCAAAGGCAGGACATCTCCTGTTTCATAACAACACATGTGTTCTTATATACATAGTTGCAACATTGGAGACATGAAACCTAGGGGATATCTGTGGAGACATGAACCCTAGGGGATATCTGCTGCTCCATTCGCTCAAGGTGACTGTGTAAACAAAGCTAATCATCTTTTTCTGATGTAATCCTCACATGCTAAACATCCTGGAGAAAAAATTACAGCAATATTAGGGACATTTCATATAAAACAATCTATATTTTTAAATTCACCTTCCCTAGCCCCCTGATCATTGTCATGCCATCCAACCATTCTACATAAAAAGTAATATTAAGAATTATCATTATTAAATATTCAGTAAAATATTTTTTTTGGCGGGCATAATCCCATTCTTTTGTTCCACATACTAAAACCATTTTTTCTGAAATGAGAATAGTCACTTCTTAAGACACCATGATTCATTAAGTTTATAATGGTAAACATTCATATGGATAAATGATCTGGACCTTGTTTAACCTCTGTCCTATTTGTTACTCCCTTTGCCTGTCATTTCCTTCAGTTATTAGAACTTCTTTGTACTTTATTTATTTTTGATAGTGTATTTCTTCCTTACTGCCTTTTTTTTTAAAAGTTATAATGTTTCTTTATGTTTTTCTTTCATGAGAGAGAGAGGGAGAGAAAGACAGGGAGAGAGACAGAGAGATAAATACCTTTGAAAAGGTCTTATCTCATATCTTTCTGCCCTTCCTTCCCAGTCAGATAGGAAAGTAGGTGTACACACTGCCCAGCATGCATAACTTGACCCGGGATCCAAACCTGGACCTCTCATTTGAGTCCAGCATCACCAAGCCAAACCCTACCACTTGTACCACCTTGACTGGGCTCCCTAATGGCCTTTTATACTAGAGTTTTCCTCTGTCTGAAATCTTCCCCTTAAATTTCTGCTCAAAATGTCCAAGAAAGCAGAAATTTTTGACATTCTTTTTATTGAATATATAACAAGCTCCTAGATCAGTAAATAGCACAAAGTAAATATAATAACAATATTTATCAAATGATAAATATGACCTTTCTTGTAACTGGGAATAGAACCAAAGGTACTGGGACTATTGGAAACTGGAGTACAGAGAAATAGTTTACACACACACACCCCAAATATTTTTACAAGATATTATTTGAAGTAAATATATCAATTATATAAGTGACAATTATCATTTATCAATTAAAATAAAATTAAAGTACACCATTAAAACCAAACAAATGTTTAGTCTACTGGATTTTCGGTTTTTAGTCAGGTGCATTACAATATAAATACTGAATTTCAAAATCAAATATGGCGGGATAAAATTCCTTGCAAATGAAAATCAACATATCAAACATTCTCCTTAAAAACATCTTAAAAGGGGACCAGCAGTTAGCGTAATGGCTATGTTGCTGGACTCTCTTGTAGTTGACCACGGTTTGAGTCCTGGACCCGGTGGCTTAAAATCATAATGGATGCGTGTGCATGTGTGCCCAAGATCCCAGAGGAGAATGGAGGAGAAGGGATTGTGGTGTGGCCATCCCCTCTGGGGGGTGATTTCTTGCTTTTTCTGTCTCTCTCTGTCTTTCTGGTGAGTGCACACGCCCTATAGCAAAAGCCTCTCAAACAAACAAACAAACAAACAAAACCTTAAAAGTAGCTTAATCCAAATGTAATTATATTCATTCACTAAGCAAATATCTTTGCATACCAGTTATATCCAGTGCCATGTTATCAAGATGAGAATAATACAGAAATAAGTCACATAAAACTTCTCTCTCTAAAGATATATGTTTCTGGAACCAGCGGTTGGTGTAATGGCTATGTTGCTGGGCTCCCATGTAGTCGACCACA